TACCGAACTGTCACCGGAATGCCCTACAATTGTCAATGTTTTGCTATTTCTTACAAATGCAATCACAATTAGTCATTTCTCCTATCTTTTATCAAAGTATAGTAAGATATTCTAAGCATGTATTAGGCTCAAAGAACTCTAATTATAGAACAATATGCCTCCAAAATACCCTATCAAAAATAACATCTTTGGCACTTATCAGTTTTCCATTAAAAAAAAAAAAAAAAAAGTTCAGGACACATATTGCCTAAGTAGGCAAGCCCATAAAAAAAAAAAAAAAAAAAAAAGTTCAGGACACATATTGCCTAAGTAGGTGAGCTAAAAAAAATTAGCTTACCTCATCCTACTTGAGATTTTACCACCAATTGTAAATTTTTATTATTACGAGAGAAAAGTGTACTAACGTGGACCAATTTATAATATTTACTTTTAAAATTCATCAAATTACTTTGACTAAATACCAAAAAAAAGTAGAAACCTACCTCATTCGCAGTAATAGTTGTTGCAAAATCTTCTTTTTTTTTTTTTTTTTTTTTTAAATTATAACCTCCTAGTACATGTAAAAAAAGGGGGGTGATTTTAAAATATTATTTAAGTATACCAACAAAAATGTCATTGTTAATTACTTACCATTTAACTTTCACATTATTGATAAAGTTGTTGCTAAATAGATAATATGATTATATGAATTGAAGAATATTATGAAATTATGAAAATTTATCATTCCTCTTTTACCTAATTAATCATTGTGACCACACATACATTCATATCCGTTCACTATTCTTAGCTTCACCTAATTACTCAGTTGTGACCACACATGCATTAATATTCTTAAATTGAAGAATATTATGAAATCATGAAAATTTATCATTCATCTTTCACCTAATTAATCAGTTGTGACCACCCATGCATTCATATCCTTTCACTGTTCTTAGCTTCTTAATTGGGCTCTATACATATTATATATATTCATTGTGGATCCAATATTGGAAATTCTTGAATGGGAAAATGGCACTTTTCCCCCCTGAGTTATATACTTATAGCACTTTTTCCCCTTGAATTATTCATGTAAGCATATTAGCCCCCTCAATTATTTTAAAAGTGACGATTTCCCCCCCTAATATATTTTATTGACATTTCTACCCTTAAAGTAAACATTTTATTTATTTTTCCTTTTCAATAAATTATTGCGTATACATAGGGATGACCACGGTTCGATTCGAATTGAACCAGACACTATAGCAATCGAATTAAAAATTTCCGGTTATGATTCAGATCCAGAACCCAATATTTTAATTTCAATTCATTAAAATTATGAATCGAAAAAACTGGATCCTGAACCGTGAACCGGCGGTTCTAGATCCGGTTAGCGATTTTGAACCGTCTTTATTTTAAAAATTTTAATTTTTTATTTTAAAATAGTCTAAATTCAACAATAAATGTATTTTATTTTTTTCAGTTTGGACCATGAACCGGCCGTCCCGGTTCACGATTTTAATAAAATCTAAATATCGGGTTTCGATTTTAAATTGTAATTAGAATATTTCGGTTTGATTTATATAGTGTGTGTTTGGTTTGAACCAACTTGTGGTCATAATTTGTTAGAGAAAAAAAATAAATGAAATATTTATTTTAAGGGTAAATATGTCCATTTAACATTTCAGGGGGAAAACAGCCACTTGAATAATTCACGGGGGAAAAGTGCTATATGTATATAACTTAGGAGGAAAAAGTGTCATTTTCCCTTCTTGAATCTTGTACTGTAGTTTCATTTCTTTGAAAGCATGTTGGGTTGATCAAAAGTTAGGTTTTAAATAAAGATACATAAATGACAGATCATATATATATACCATTTGTTTCGAATGCCTAATAGTAGCTTTTTAGTTCAAATCAACTATATATTTAATTTTAGTTATGATTATATATATCTAGATAGGTTTAATGGTTCAATATCGCTAGTATAATAATACACAAATTTGGGGAGGGTCGAGATCACCAATTTAGTCCACAAGGATGAGGAAAGCTAACATCGTCGATACACATAACTTAAGAGCATCTCCATTAGTGGAGTTTGTTGCTCAGTTTTTGAGGATAGCAATGCTTATGTAGAGGAGAGACAAAGAAATGGGTCTTTGCAGGATGTGTGATTTTTGGACGGAATATGTGGGCCCGCGTGGAGAAAATGACGGCGCCTTGTTTGCAAGAGAAAAATTTAAGCAAAAATCATCTCCCCCATTAATTAAAAACATCTCCTCAGTTTTTAAGTTCATCTAAAAAAAACTTCACAAAAATCCCTAATAGGTTGCTTTTATAAACAACTTGTTACTTGTTAGTGCATGCAAATTTTTGTCCATATTATACGGTTAGGGTAATATTACTCCAACCAATAGCCTAGCAGTTTACAAATAAAAAGCCTAAATAGTCTGTTAGGATGATCAATTAGTTCAGTCTAATTAGGATAGCAGATTTAACTATTTTAGGGATCAGATCCCCTATTTCTACCCGTGGGGAAAGTGACAAATAAATAAGTTCTCATTTGCCTCATAGCCTTATAAAATTTTGCTAGAATATCAATATACTTGCATAGAACAGAAAACTAACTACTTATCACCATTGAAACACAATTGTTTTGGAGTGATGGATATATTTGGAAAAGAGCTCGGGGCAAACCGACCCGAGGTGGTCGTAGTGCGGCATAAGGGGTCTTGGGCGACCCCAGCTGTGGTCGAGGTCGACCTCGATCAGTTAGGGCGGTCACGAGGAGGATAGTCACGTGGGGGCCGTCCTACGCCTCAGGCGCGCCCAGGGACTCGGTCAAACCGTGATCCAACCGCCTACCCTATTTTCATGGGGGCGGTTGGGAGGTTAGCTAGTATAAAAGGACATGCCCTTGTCTTGTTAGGACATCTACTTCGGGGTCTTAATACTACATTTACCTTGTAACTCTCCTACAATAATTATCAATACAAAAGTTATCATCGCGACACATATTCATCGTCCTTATTACCGCATTATCCTAGTCCTATTATTATTGGGTTTAGTAAGTCGGGCTACCCCGGGTTAATTAAATCTATCATGGACCATGGTATAAAAACGGCGCCGTTTCTTCTAAGTTAAGAAACAAGGAAATTAAAGTTATATTTAACAAAAATCTCGTATTTGTGATGTAATTAAAATAAAATGAAACTTCAGTGTATGTATCTAAAATAAAACTGGATAATATATCTCACATATTGAGTATATATTATCAAATGAAACTGTAGTTGAATTGAAATAATACTTTAGTTGTGTTTAAATGAAATCACAGTATGTGTAAAATGAAACTGAATAACGTGTCTCACGTATTAAGTGTATAATGTTAAATGAAACGCTAGTTGAAACAAAATGATAATTTAGTTGTGACGAAATGAAATTATAATATATATAAAATGAAACTGAACACGTCATATAAACAGAAGTAATTAGATGAAACAGGTGTTATTTGCCATTGAAACGTATCGTGGCTGACCTCAGAACACCTATCCTATTCTCCATTAATCAATCAGAAAGGAGGAGATTTGGTTACTATAAAATAAACTCTCACATGACTAAAGGATAACCTCACCATCACTTCCATATATAACTTGTAGATTCTTTTCTCTAAAACATGAACAAGCTAGGTTAATCTCTCATAGGTGTTTTATTTCACACTTGCATAATGCTTCAAGCAAATTCAGCAAGGGCACCTCAAAATCCTTCTGTCTTCAACCATTTAATAACAATTTTTAAAACACACTACACCATAGTTTGCCTAAAATCCTACCCATCTCCGACCCCAACCTAGCTAGCTAATGAAAGGCCACACGGCCTTAACGCTCAGTAAACAGTATTTGGGAGAAGAGACCAAGGTTCGAACCTTAGCAGCGGTTGTGTGAGGATATGATTATGTCCAAAATGAGTAGATTTCTTGCGTGCACCAGCATTTGGACCTGTCTGCTGAGCCATTGGTTTTATATCCTCTCAAATGTTCTGTTAGATCAGAGTGTGGGGCCCTGGGGGTTGGGAATTCAACCTTTAGGGGGCGTTTGGTTCAGGTTATATTACATAACCAAGGGAATGTGACATTCCCGAGCTTACATTCCTGTGTTTGGTTCATATTCTCGGAGGGAATATAACATTCCCAGGGAATGAAACATTCCCTCCACATAGGATTTTGAAGGGAATGTGATTCCCTTCATTTTCTAAGGTTATGTAAGATAACCTTGGATATTTATAAATTTTGTCATTTTAATTCTATATAGTATAATATCCTTAACATATTTACATATATATATATATATATATATATATATATATATATATATATATATATATATATATATATATATATATATATATATAAGATAACCCTAAACCAAACATGATTATATTACATACCTCAATTTTAACCAAACACATGAATCTAACATTCCCAGTAATCTAACATTCCCAGCAATCTAACATTCCCTAAGGTAATCTAACATTCCGTGAACCAAACGGCCCCTTAGGGAGAAGAGAAGCTAATGAAAGCCCTTTTAAAATGCTCTGTTAGATCGGGGTGTGAGGCCATTGGAATTGTGAATTCAACTTTTAGAGAAAAGAGAAGCTAATGAAAACACTTTTAAATGCTCTATTAGATCTGGATGTGGAATTTTTGGGGTTGAGGATTTAACCTTTTAAGGAGAAGAAAAGCAAATGAAAGGCCTTTTAAAATCCCCATGTTTCAACGTCATCAACCATGCATGAGCATATATTATGAATATCGTAACAAATCCCACCAACCAAATTCCATCCGAATTACAAATTAATCCAACACGATCAACTTTTCTAATGATTTCTTTAAGCACTCGATAACTTTCTTTATTTGTTATACATATAATTTTGTGACATATGTAACAATGTAACATCTATCCACATGGTACATTGCAACAAATGCTCATTATAATAAGGAAAAAAAAAAAAAAGATTTGATAGAACACCAAGACAATTAACTAATAAGCTTTTTATTATTAGAGTAATATATTATACATCTTGCTTCTTCTACGTATATATATGAAATATGTATATAATCATGATTATTGGAACACAATTTAATTTCAAGAGAAGGAAATTAAAAACTATTCACAATTTATCTTTAAGAATTATTTTGCTTGGACTTTTACCATAATATTTATAAAAATTATTATTATTATTAAACCATTTGAATCCAAATACCTTCACTTGGTATGCCTTTATGAACCACGAAAAGCATATAGTATCCCGCCGGAGAAAGATTGCCGGAACCCGGTGTCACCGCCGTCATATGGTATGTGTTTATTCCGACGGGTTTCACCGTCCCTCCGCCGCCGAGATCCAACAGCCTTTGGTGTTGAGAAAATGAATGTGTAGTGAACGACGGCGCCACCATTGTTACCGTGACCAAGTTTCCGTCCACGGGTCCGGCGGCGGTGAATTGGATCTCTATTACTTTTCCGTACCCGAATTTGGAGTGCGAACCCGGAAGCGTAATATGCGGGCGTATGCCCGCCGTTGCCGCGTCCAGATACGGCGGCGAGAAGGCTTCCAGTCTTAACTCCGTCGGAAAAAGAGCGCCGTTTCCGAAGACGTAGTTTGGGTGTGGGTTGCTGCCGCCGACCAGAACCCGGGAATCGCGGAGGAGAATGGCGGTTGAGTGGTACATTCTTGGGATTCCGCTCGGGTTTAGTATTTCGAAACGGGTTCCAACCGGGTTATCGGTGTGGTAAAGAACCGGGGTCTGAACCGGGTTCCGACCGTCCCCGTACCCGGCCGATCCCTGAGCCGCGCCGTTTATGATGAGAATATTCCCGTTGGGTAAAGTGACCATATCGCCCATGAGTCTAGCCATCGGCATGGTTTCCATGAACCAAACCGGGTTCGGGTCGGTTATTCGGATCCTGCCGCAGGTATTCAAAGCGCCCATGAAAACGCCTCTCTCCGACGCCGGAAACGCCCCTTTTGGCGCGCCGCCGCAGATCAACACCTCCGCTACTATCCCCGGAGCTTGCAAGTTCTTCAATGGCAGCAGAACGGCCGATCCCGTACTCGGATAAGACCTCGGCTGGCCGTCGGGCATGGCGGGGTACAATCTCACGACGGCGTGCTTAATATAATCGTACAATATCGCTTTATTATTAGCGAAAATAAACAAATGGCCATCCACATTGAGGAAAACATAGGGGTAAAGATTATTCTCCGCTCCGGGATCGTTAGTTTCGGCCAAGAACGGGAGATTATAGAGAAGATCGCCGCCGGGGGTTTTGGGGTAAAACTCGTAGTTGAACTCCTCGCGGCCGCCGATGATGATCTGGCGGCCGTCCGGCAAGATATGGTTGGTGGCGTACCACCGCCACCGGTGCAACGCGTTGGGGATTTCCACCCAATCGCATTTCTTATCGTTGCATGGATTGAAAACTCTCACGACGTGGTCGCCGTCGTTCCACCCGCCGGTCTGGATTAAAGTCCCGTCGGGCATCACGGCGGCGGAGGAGCACCACACGTCGGTTTGGACCATGAGAGGACGCACGGTGTTTTCCGCCACGTCGTACTCGACGGAGTGAGCGGTGCAGTCAACTTTGACGACAACCTCGTATGGATCCTGCCGGCATCTTCCGCCGCCGAGGGGGATGTTGGACAGTCCGAAATCGGTCCGGTCGAATATGACAACCTTGTCGTTGTTAAGAAGCTGCATGTGCATGGCGGCAATGCCGATATTGGGCAGCAGTAGCTCCCACCTGCCACCGCCGGCTGCGGCGGCGAACATGTTCCGGCTCCACGGCGGCGGCGCCGCCACTAGAAAGAGCTGCCACAGAGCAAACAAAAGAGTAAAATTTCGACGACCCATTTGATGAAATATATGATGTTTTCTTGGAGAGATTTGGTGGTGTGGGTTCTCCTTTTATAACTCTATCATGATTGTTGAAATTTCTATTATTGATTTAAAGTCAAAATTCATAGATTATGAATCGTACAAGACATGTGTATTGTGTACTTAATTTGGATATCATCAATACTTCAATAGTGACATTTAATTTGATATTGTATTATTGTAAGCTAACAACTACCTTTCTCCATTTAATTCTTTAAAAACGTTTTTATATAGTTTTAGAATTTGACATATACTTTACGTACTAACATTTAATTTTATTTTCTAATATTTAAAATTTTAATTTTTTGTTTTACAATATATACAAAGAAGCTCAAGACCCGAACCAAGGTTACCGAGCTTAGGGTTGGCATAAGAAAGTTGACTCGAGAAGTTGAGGTCGAGTTGACATGTGGGATTGGAAAAACAAAACTAACTGATAATCGTTACACACTACTGGAAATTCTGAAATTTCCGACCACCTGAAAGTGATCTTAAATCAAGTTGAAAGTTTTGTTCCGACCACTTTTGGTATCCGGAAAAACCTTTGTTGCTATTTCCGACCACTTTTTGGACTTTTTGGTATCAACTTAATTTAAGATCATTTTCAGGTGGTCGGAAATTTCAGAATTTCCAGTAGTGACATCTATTACAGGCATCCGCTTTACATGGGAAACATCTGGATCGTGTGGGACATTGGACTTTTAGTATAAGTAGGCTAATTTTTGTCTTGGATGTACACTTTTGTTTCATTCTAACACTTCATATTGTAATAGAGGCACCGTCAATAGTAAGATAAAAACATGATTCTATTGTCCTTTTGATCATTTTACTTGTCTTTGCATTTCAATTGATTGTAATCTTTTATGTACTATTTGGAATTATAAATCCGGGCCTCCGAGTTAATTTTCTCCATCACTATGGTTTGTGTGTGTGTGTTTTCCTCGTCAAGTAGAGGAGATCAGAACAATTTCTTTGTGACAACTTATAAGATAAAATCTGATGCTAATACAAAACATCTACACTTATATTTTTTTGGAAATTGGAGGCTGTTAGAGGTTTGATTCATTGAGACTAGCATTGTTCAATTTGACATATTCATAGAAAAATCAATTTTTATGTTAATTGGAATTGACAATACATCACAACCAACCTATCTTGTTCTTAAATTATTGGTGTTTGAACGATCTGTATTTATTAGAATATTCTTTTATTTTAAAAAGTAAATCTTACCACCATAATATCACAATTGTACTTTTTTAAAAAAATTTTCTCTATATCGATCATTGATGTTGATTTTGCAATCATTGGTGGATGGTCGCCGACTGGCTTACACTACCGATCAAAATATTAAAGTAAGCAATAGAAAACTAAGGACACGAGAAGAATAGTAGAAAACCTCTTAATCGACAAATCCCTCTTAGTGACATGTGTAAGTGCGTTGAGTTTAACAATTATCCAATTCAAAATGCAGAAATATGTTTTCAAAAAAAAAAATGCAGGAATATAATTTACCCACAAAAACATTTCAAGCACAAAAATTGGTTACATTAATCATAAAATTTGTAATTATAGAATTGATGATTAACACTCTTTACTCTTTTAGGGATATTATCCATTTGCACTACTTAGACAATATGGTAGAAAACTCAACCGAAAATGTGATTATACACACGCAAATTTTACCTCAAAGAAACCCATCGTACTAAACTGATTAACTTAAGGTTAATTGATAATATAATGACATTTTTTTTTTTTTTTGGGTGACGAGGGAAACTCACAAGTACTATTTGAGACATGCACAATGTATTAAGTAAATCCTGCATTACGACCTTAGTCGACGCTCATCAACAAAAAATTACAAATAGGTAAAACAATTTAAGGTTGTCCGCATGGACAGCTCAATTGGTCACAGAGATAAAGTTTGTGAACAATGATTCGAGATCGAGTCTCATCAGGATTACCATGATTTACTGAATTACCATGATTTATATCGCCAACTTAAGTTGTCCATCTAGTTGATATATATATAGACTCAACCCAAAGTAACATAATGACATTTGTGTAGTGGAAAACAAGAATTAGATCCGTTTAATTTGGTACTAGAATTCTATGGCAAATTCTAATTTAATCAAAACTGAAGTACTTGAGGCAACTTACTAACCTGGGTTATGGACAACCTAGTCTCAACCGCTGGCCAGTAAATAATAGGAAACTATCAACAGTGCTCTTTTGTTTTCTAACCTCCCATGGAGCAATCAAAAGTCAAATCCTATTTAATGTGTTCCTTAAAACCTTTGCTATATCTTTATAATTGAAAACGACTTCATGTTGATTATTTTTTGGGTGCGGAACTGCGGATTAATCAAAGATAAGTTTTTGTGTTTACACTAGGTAAATCAGCACCGGGGATAATTGTTACTTGTTAGCACGGGAGAGTATGTAGTTGATAGGGATATTGCTGTGCTGGACCTTAGCTAGCTTGATGGCAGGTAACAAAGCTCGAGACACTGCAGGTCTTGGACCGATCGATCTTGCCTATAACTCCTCGGATTTCCGACCGTCTTCGCTCTGGCGAGCGCCTGCCCAAACTGGCCTCGGCCTTTCCTGGCCATGCGAAGGGCCCAATCATATTAGCTCGGTCCCGGGCGCCCTGCCTTTCAATGCGGTGTTGCCTTGTCAGGAATATAGCACCACGCGTCAGCTATCCCTTCGACCCCGGCCCGGACTGATGCATATTGTCATTCATGTCGGAGGCCAGGGTCTTGTTCCCCCTTTGCTCCTATAAATAGTGCACTTATTACTGAGGAGAGAGACTTTTTCACCTACTTCACAGTTCACACTAGCACTATTTGACCAGAGACTCTCGACCCACTGTCGCAGGATCTCGAGCTCAAATACCCCCAACCTCGTACGATACACATATGGCCGTATATACTGTATTAGTAGTTTTTGAGGTTAATCAAAAATTTTATTAGTGATAGTTAACCTAGTTAGTTTATGCCGCTTTGGCTACTAAGGACATAGGCTGCCTTAGTTGTTTAGATGTTCTATCATGTTCTTACCATAGGGATGACAATTCTACCTACATCGAATGGAGTTTTTTTATGCCTGCACAAATGTGGGGTCGGGTGTGGGGGAGGTATCTCCACCCCCGCTCCCGTACTTTATATGTGTGTGTGTAATAGTATATTGATGTAAATTACTTGTGTATTAAAAACTAAACTATTGTTTATTCCTTAAAAATATGAGCAATCCACAAAGCGACGATTTAAATTACTAATAGAAAATTTGTAATCGAAGATTTAAAGAACTAATTAATGTTGAAGCTTATATTTATTTTTTGGTACTAAGGCGATTATTTAACTTATTAATGTAAAAGTTATTAGTTATTTTTTGGTATTAATGACAAAGACTTATTTCAATGAGAAAAAAACAATTCGATTGATTTGATTAACTACTATATAGAAAATATGTAACAACAAAATCTAATCGTAATTACAACCTTTATTATATAAATCATAACATAAGAAATATATAACTTCACCATCAGTTTGACATTTTAGTCGAATTTGAACCAAAAAAAATAATTTAAAATATCTATTATACTTTTCTTATTGCCTAGATTAACTCCCAACCTCCTAATGCTTAGGGTTCAGGTTGTTCTGATCTTATCAATTGTATGAAACCGGCCGGCCTTCGTCATCTGCATTATTTTGGTGTCAAAGTTACACAAATAAATAAGGAAAGAGGCAGAATTTATTTCGTGTAGGCATATGTTATGTTATGTTGTACAACTTGTACAAATGTCAAATTGTATTGTATTATATTTGCCTAGACCAATTGATTGAATTGAAGAAAACATGTGGGATTTGCTTGCTCTCAGGTAGGGATGTGTTTGATAAATGACTGTTAGCTGATTGATTTAGAGAGTTTGACTAGTTGGTAACATTAGCTGATTGTAGAAAAGTGTTTGGTAAATTAGTTGTTAGTTGTTAGCTGATTACATACAAAATGGTTTTTTCAAAAAATTGATCGAAAAAACTACTTTGAGCAGTTTTTGAATTTTAACATTTTGGAGCAATAAGTTCTTAAAAAAAAGTTAAATCAAACACTCATATTAATTATTTAATCAAGTTAAACAGCTAAGAGTAGTCAAATAAGTCAAAATTGATTGATAGACTAATTATTTTACCAAAGGGGACTTATTATATCATTTTAATAACATTGTTTCCTAGGATTGTTATTCTTCGAATTGAAGTTTATGTGTTTCTGGGACAAATTACTTTTTGACTAAGAACCAAACTATGCAAGGTGTAATTCAAGTTAAATCCGAATTAGTCTTATTGTGAATTTCTAATACCATATGTAATAATTAAAAAAAAATGGTTAGAACGGTTTGTACTCTGCTTGGCTCAAACTACAAATCATCAAAGGGTGAATAGTTGGAGCGACGGATTGTTCCAACCACTCTAATCACTATTGTTGGTTTTACGGTCACGGAGTTGCAGGACGGTGGGCCAACACAAATGTAAAAATATTAAGTAAAATTGAGAGAAAATTAGACATATTCGTTGTACTAAAATTGAATTCAGAATCCTTTACAAGCTATGCTATTGATATTTAAAAATTTTAGGAACACAACCCTAAAATACATTCATTGACATGTTATTACGTGGAGTCTTTATTAACTCATTGCAAGATTTATTAATTCAATTCAAGCTATGCTAATAAAAATAAATAGTTACTTTTTAAAAATTTCATATATAATTCCATATTAATTCAACTCACCTTGCAATTTCTACTTTCTTTTATTTTCCCTTCTCTCCTTTTTGGCTTAATCGACCACCTAACAAAAATACTCATATTTAAGTTTAATCATTGTGATTGCTCCTATGTTATAATAATGAATGTTGGTGGTACTACAAAAGAACATTTTGGAGATGCAACTACTCTTGGTGTGTAGTTAATTGGATTGTCAAAGTG